GCAACCGGGTGCCACCACCACTGCCGGAGCCAGGAGCCAGCTGGGGGGTGGCTCCTATGGGGTCCAAGGCCAGATGCCACTGCTAGTCCCCCCCAAGTGGGTATGAGAGCCCCTAAGCTGGGGTTCCTGAGGTGTTGCCTTGCAGCAGCATCAGGAAGGGATCTTGGGATCAGGTGGAGGAAGATCTTGGTACCCAAACCCACAGGGTCCATGACAGGGGTAGTACCTGCTCCCAAGAACGCTCTCTGCTCCAGCGCTGGTGGGTTCAGGGAAGAGACCCTGTCACACGCAGTGAGGAAGGGCTGCCTCAACATGGCCATGGGTCTTGCCCTGTGGCAGATGGTACTTGGCCACATCATCTGTGTGCCCTGTGCGCCCCACATCTCTAGTCCCGTGGCCCTCTTGGAGCGTGGGAATGGGGAGGTGTGCTGGTGCTGCTGTGAGAACAGTCAGTGCTTCAGACTGTTTCTGTTCCCCATGTGAGGTGCAGCCACCATGGCGTGGCAGCTGACTGGCACAGCTGTCAATGAAGGGAGGAAGGCACAACATTGTCACCAACTTAGTTCCACCCCCTGGTGCCAGGCTAGACCCTGCGAAGAAGCAAACAAGTTTGCTGCAGTAGCCTCACTGGGTCCCTTCACACAGCTGGGTGCATCTGGCCTCTGTCCCTGGTGGAAGGTGACCTGCAACCCAAGGCAATGCCCGGCCTCGCCAGCCATGCGGGAACGCCGTGCCCACCGCATCCGGGCTAGCGTGGGCGTTTGCTGCGATGGCACAGATAACGCCTGCACGCAGGTCCCAGGCAGCGGTGATGGGGGGGGAGACAGGGCAGGGTCAACACGCAGGACCCTGAGGCACCAGCAGGAGCCTGCTCCTTCCTTCTTCCTCCTTGGTGGCAAGCCAAACCCTGCCGGGGGTTATCGAACCATGCAGCCGGGCATGGAGGGACCTGGAGCGAATGGGAGGATGGATGGGGGTGCAGAGCCCAGGGCTGACCCACCCCTCCTGGAGGTGCTGGGGACCCCTGTCCCCACCTGCTATCCCAGGGCCTTCGGGCCAGGTGACTCTGAGGCCCACCGTGTGCTCCCCAGGGGTTGGGGACCCCACCCTTGGGCTGTCAACAGTGGGGTCACCCTGGCAAGGGCCTGAAAACCTCTCATGGCAAAGTGGGTGTTCCCCAGCATCAGTGGGT